GCCAACAAACAAAAAACCCACCACTTAAACCAGACGGACTACTTCAACCCCTTCCCACTCCAAATCTTGTATGGGATGAAATATCAATGTATTTTGTTACAAATCTACCCCCATCAAATGGAAAGACAACTATCTGGGTGATTGTCGATAGCCTCACCAAATTCGCTCACTTCCTCCCATTACCACCCAACTCGACAACAACATCCTTGGCTACACTGATCTTACATCACATCTATCACCTGCATGGAATAAAGTCCATCTTATCTGACCGGGACCCAATCTTCCTTAATTGCTTTTGGAAAGAGTTATTTGTTAAACTAGACACATGTCTTTTACATTCAAGTACATATCACCCCGAAATCGATAGACAAACTAAAGTAGTCAATCGATGCCTTGAATCATACTCGCGGTGTTTTGTATGTAATGAACCTCGAACTTGGAGCAAGTTCTTATACTTGGCAGAATTGTGGTGTAATACTAGTTATCACAGTGTCATCGAAATGACACCTTTTTAAGCTCTGTATAGATGCCCGCTTCTTCTCTACCTCATTACCCTACAGGTACAACCACTATAGCATCAATAGAAAACACACTCCAAGAACACCAACGCCTTATCTTGTAACTAAAAGAAACATTAAGCAAAACACGCCAACAAATGTCGGACCAAGCTAATAAACACCGAATGGAGAAAGAATTCAAAGTGGGTGACTTGGTCTACTTGTGTCGAAAAACCTATCACCAACATTCTGTTCACAAAAGATAGTCACAAAAGTTAAGTCGCATGTTTTTTTGGTCCTTTCACCATATAGGAACGAATTGGTAAAGACGCATATCGCTTGGCACTCCCACCAAAATAAAAGATTCACCTTGTTTTTCATGTATTACTCCCACGACCATGCATAGGACCAATCATAATGCCATCTCTACCGCTTCCAAGCTATTACATTGTTGACCATCCAATTGAAGAACCAGAGAGAGCTCTAGACACACTAACGATAATCGAGCAGGAAAAAAAGGTTCAACAAATTTTACTCAACTGGAAAGTCAAATATGAGAATGAAGCCACCTGGGAAAATAAGGAAAACTACCCCAATATGCACCTTAATTCGTATCTTGAGGACAAGCTCCATCTTGAAGGGGAGGGTATTGACATAATCCGGATACCAACTCAATATACCGCTCCCATGACTCAACCCATCAGAGCCCGTAAAAATCCATCATGTTATGAAGATTGACTCAACAAACGGTCATGAAGACCAAGTCAGATCACATTCCAGGAGCTACCTGACTGGAAGAAGTGGATGCAGGATACTCTCCTTAATTTTAGTTCATATTCCTATGTTTTTACTTGTTCCCTAAGGTTGATAACAACCAAGTTAGCTTTCTATAAATTGTAAGTTGTTTTGATGATGGAATTAAGTAGAAAATTGTCTCAAGTGTCTTCTATTTCTCTCTCTAAATTTCTAGAGATTACCCATCTCAAATCGGGTGGTATCATAGCAGCAAGGTCAACTTAGAGGTGCACATAAAGAAAATGATGTGCGTTTAAAATCCCTACATATTCACTTGATGATTTTGAAAATAAAATGACATGTTTACCCCGATAGACCTTAACCTATAATTAATGTGTTGTTTGTTTTTTTTTTAAGCTAAAATATCTGCAGTTTGCGGATCACTTCTGCAAGCATCTGTGGCAGAAGATGTGAACCAGATATCTACAGTCTCCAATAAAAAGATTGTTTGTTTTTAACTTCTATAACTGTTGAAATAAATTGATTTTTCAAACTTAATTGCATGTCGTAAATATTAAAAATGCATTTTCAGCAAAAAAAAAAAAAAAAAAAAAAAAAAAAAAAAAAAAAAAACTAGTGGCCTATGTTTTTTTTTAGATTAAAATAAGATCTGAAGACCTTTCAAGACAATGACTCATGTCTGCATCAGGAAGACCTTCCACAGACGTTTTTTGATCTACATACTTCCAAAAAACAAACATTCCGTGAGGGTATATATCTGCACGGCGCAGAAAAAAATGGTTGCGCAAATCTTCATTAAAAAAAAACAAAAAAAACAAATAGTTCCTAAGTATGTAAAACACAGAGACCTCATGGTCTATGAATTTAAATAAAATCAAAATATGAAAATAAATAAAATTAAAATATGCATGAATCTAACATATGAATCCATATGTAAAATATCTATGCACGAATGCAAACATATAATCCACAATCATGAGCTTCTCAGCAATGTAGCAGTGGATCTCCAATCATAACTCCCACCCTCATACATGCCGATAACATGGTATGATTCATACCCAGTTTTGAGGGTGTGCAAGGTGTGCAACCGCATTGGGCCTCGGAAAAAATGGGGCCCAATTTTTTGCCAATTTATATAGTTATTATATATTATATATATCATGTTACGCAACAATTTTAACAAACTATTTTAAGTTCAACTGGCTTATGAGCTGCCTTTTCGTGTTAAATGTCCTGGGTTCGATTCTCATCTGTTCCGTTCTTTTAGTTTTTAGTTGATCTATTTTTAATATATATATATATATATATATATATATATATATATATATATATATATATATATATATATATATATATACACACACATTTACGTAAAACTTTAACAAAAATCTTGCAGCTCGGCTGGCTTTAAGGCGTAAACATTGTTGGCTCTCTCATTAATAGGGGTTCGGACCAGTTGCCTTACACTTTTCTGAATGATTTTTATAAATAATCATTTGTCTTATCTTAGGGGCCCATTCATCACTATTAGCATAGGGCTCTCAAAAATAAAGGATCGCCAATAAAAATGTCATACATAAACTCTAGCAAGGCATCATGGTAAATCCATAAATACACAGATCAAAATCGATACAATGAACCCATGCATGCACGATTGGAAATATGATTATTAAAATGATAATATACAAAAAATAACCATAATGATCAACCCAAGTTTGAGCTCTAAACCTTGCATCAATAACCACATTAAATCAGAAATCCAAAACTCTATAAATAATCATAAAATTACAACAAAGCAAAATTAAAATCAAATTTAAAATACAAACATTAGTAACAAATTTAAGTAGTAGTTAGATGAATAAAAATGTTTTTAGCCCAATGGTATAAGGTGCCTCATTGAGATCGAGTGTTTAAGTCTCTTCGTAGACATAGAAAGATATTAAATGTTAGTTAGAAAGAAATTAAATGCTAGTTTAAAAGTAAATTATATATTTATATTTACAGGTTAAAAAAAATCATGTTGTTGCTGGAATTAAAATTGCACATGGTGACATTGGTTGTTTGATTTGCTGAAAAGACTCATATAAAATAGTGTTGGAGTAGACAAGGTGTGAAATTTATTTGACCACGAACCATATGTTTCCCGCTATAATCCTCGCCTTCCTTTTTTTGGCAATCCTTCAAAAACAGCGTCATGTGCATTCTTTTCTTTAAGTTTTCTGCCTTTGTAACCTATAAATATGGTACCTGACCATTCATTACATCTTTGCATCTTTCTAGCTATATATCACCATTAAAACATAAATTCAATATTTCAAAATCGATGTAATAGGGTTTATGAAAGATAACCCCTTGTAAGCGATATTAGCAACATAAGATTCGCTACATTATGTTGGCATTCCCCTCATATGATCCCGACCCGATGTGCGATGTAGTTCTAATATTATCATCAGTTTTGATTTTAGGGTTATTGATGAATAATAATAGTAATTTTTTGAATTGTTTTTTTGTAGAGTTTGTATTTTGGTTTGGTTAACTGTAAGATTAATTTGTGGTTTTATTAGTTGAACTTATTGCTGATGTATGGATTCTCGAGGATGATGAAGACCACAATATAGAAAAAATGTCATTTGAATGAATTTAACTCCTAAATCATTAAGTGAAATGGTGTAGAGACTCAAAGTGTGATAACAATGCTTCTTCGAGATGGCTAATGTTTCAAAAAAAAAAAAAAAAAAACAAAAAACAAAAAACAAAAACAAAAACAAAAAACGTACATAAAAAACCAAATCACATTAACCAAATTTGTATTTTACCATGTAAAGTTACAAGAACATATTAATAGTATCACACAATTTGAACAGTCCATATTAATTTGTTTCAATACTCATATAGAAGGTCAATCAAACACTTTTAATTAGATTCTTATCATGAGGTCAATAATATTGGTATGATAAAAGAAAGTGAAAAATCAAAATTCATCCCATAAATCACTTATAAATGGGTAATGATTAATGAGCATCCATCTAAGATTCGCCTCGAGTGGGAATCAAGTGCGAATAGAAACTCCCATGGTTATGCAGCCCACTGTTGACTAATTTTCTCCGTATCAAATATAATTATATAAAGAAGTAATATCAAGTTCATACTTCATACAGCTTCTGTCTAATAAATTTTCAAATCATGTTTCAAATTAAATATTTAAATATCGTTTAGATTTCATCACATATTATATAAAAGAATCTTTCGGGTGACCTATAAATTTATCTTATCAAATTAAAATACTAATATACTAAAAAAATATGAATTAACATGATTACAACGACTCACTTTTTTGAAGCAAAAGTGCCATCTGTTTAGAAGAACATCGTAGCAAGACATTTTCTTCACGTTTCAAAAACTAATCCAACTTAATGTTTTTGTTTAATATCATCCAATCATATCCTTCTTCTCCCTCACGACTTCGAATTCAAGCAAATTACTCTTAAAAAAAAACACGAACTTATATTGAAAAAATTAAACCACTTCGATCCGTGAACAATCATAAGGGATTCATACATGCATAACAACATAAGATCAGCAAATGTTATATCTTACTAAACTTTTTCTTTTATAATTACTAAAATCTGACAAAAAAAAAAAAAAGAACGGATTTTCTTTTGTCAAATCTTAATTATAAAGATCTTTAACAAGTTTACTTAGATATAGAATTATTATTCCGTACCATTAAACATAAACTTCATCACTTCAATTATTAGTAGCAGCTTGCAGCGCCTTTTCCATTCTCTCCGCTATGCCTTTCAGAGACGACTGTAAATAACCACAGAAACCCTCGAAAGTCTGATCTTCCACCGGATCAGCCGTGAACCGCCACTCAATCCGGCAGCCACCAGCACCATCACCATCTTTGTTTTCAAGAACTGTCCACTCAGCCACATAAAACCCCACCCCAAGGTTGTTCTCAGTGATCTGATAGCTCAGACGGCGTTGAACAGGATCGATAGACAGTAGCGTCTCGTAACACCACTTGACGACAGTCGCCGGAGTCTGATCGGCGGCGTCAGGTGGTGGTGGTGCTGGCACGGTTGTTGTGATGTACCTGATGAGACCTGGTTCCCCGTAGACTCCTTTAACTTGTTGGCATGCGTCGACGCCTGGATACCATTTTTCAAGAGAGCAGAAGTCTTCGATCAGAGGCCATACTTGGTCTGCTGTTGCGCTTCTTACTTCTGCAATGGCTTTGCCTTCCCATTTCGAATCTCTGCTTTCTTGAGCCATTTTGAGTTTGTGCTTTTCTTCAAAGTCGCTATATAATATAATCTTTGCTAGCTTATATATATTTTAATTTATTACAAACAGTGTTGTGCACTTTTAGGCAATTATCATAAATATAGCAACGTGGGGTTTTCCGGGGTTGAAGAAAAAGTAAGAGGTAAATGACACGAATGGTCCTTATGATTTCGGTAATTCATGCGTTTTATCCCTATCTCTTTTTTATGGTCCTTATGATTTGGGTAATTCATTCCTTTTATCCCTAACTTTTTTTTTTACTCGGTGGGGTCCATGTGCTACTTGTTTTTTGTGGTTAACCAAATAAACAATAAAGGCATTGAATCAATAGAGTAGTCACAAGTAATGAATTTCAAATCAAAATTTTTTACCATAAATTTAGGTCAAACCTTATGTGTAGTTGTGGTGAACTGGTTCTGTATAACTAAGTGGGAAAAATTATACTATAATTTTTAATGTACCACTGATGTTTGAGCGGAGTTTTTATAGCACCATTCTTTAAAAAAAAAAGAAAAAAAAAAATGCAAGTTAATGTTGAGAGCATTTCTAACCGAACACCATTTTGATAATTTAGATTTTGGAACCCATTCGTGGATTTGGTTTCAGTTTTTTTGTTTCATTTGATTTTGGCAATCGTATGCAACATTTACGTGTTGTTTGTTGCTTTGAAACCTATTATGTGATTATGGTTTCATTTGATCAATTTCTTTTGTACGGATTTCAACATATACATGTTGTTGGGTTTCATTTGGTTATGTTTTCATTTGGGTTTTAATGGGTTAGCTTTCAGATTACGGTTCCATTTGGGTTTCAGATGACGATGGTGGTGGCGGTGGCGGTGGCGTTGGGTGGCAATTGTGTCTATTTTACCCCCTCAAACACCAATGACAAATAAGAAAAAAAGTGTAATTATCGTTATTATAATTTTTTATTTTGAAATAAAAATACATAATGAAAAAAATTGAATCATGTACAGCTGTCTTTTTACCCCCTTAACGCCCCTATGTATTTAATGTTTGAAATATGAAATGAATATTATAAAAGTAAAAAGAAAAGTGAAAAGGATAATATATTCGTTTCAAATAGGAATGAAACCAATAGATACTTATATATTAGTGTTATTAGAGTTGTTCCAGGAAACAAAATATTTACCATTTTAGTGTTCTTTTAAAACTATTTACCATTTTAGTGTTTTTCTTCTTTTTCTTTTATTTTTTAGTTTTCTTTTCAGTTTTTTTTTTTTTTTAATTTAAATATCTTATTTTTCTTTTTTCCTTTTTTATTCCTCCTTTTTATTGTTTTTCTCATTTTCTTTACTTTTTAGTTTCTTTTCAGTTTTTTTTTTAATTTAAATATCTATTTTTTTCTTTTTTATTCCACATTTTTATTATATATATATATATATATATATATATATATATATATATATATATATATATATATATAAATGACAACTTTCATTTTAGTTTTTTTATCCTTTTTTTACTGTTTTTTTTTAATATATGTTTTTTTATTTGTTTTTTTCTGTATTATTTAAATATCTGATTTTCTTATACAACATTTTTACCATCAAATTTTAGCCTCAACATTAAAAAATCATCAAAAACCACCACTATAATAAAATTTTAAGGTGCAAAAATTCCAACATTCACATACAATGTTTTTAAAGTGAAAAAAATCTCAACATTGTTTCTTACAAAAAAAACATCACAAAAAAAACCCAATATTGTTTATTACAAAAAGAAAAACATCACAATTAGCTTCATCTTGAATCGGTAAAAAATTATTACTTGTAAAAAAAATAATAATAACAAGAGAATAACTATAACAAATACCATAAAAATATTATTTTTTTAAATTACGTTGGTATAGACGGACATTGTTTTCGATTATGTCCCGTTAAATCCACGTGCTCGAGAATGGTTGGAGAGTCATCCACTTAATAGATGTCCGTCTATGCCAAGGTAATTTAAAAAATAATATATATATTTTTTACAGGTAATGAATTTTTACCGATTCAATATGAAGCTAATTGTGATGTTTTTCTTTTTGTAATAAACAATGTTGGATTTTTTTTGTGGTGACATTCACCTACAATGTTTTTTATAAGAAACAATGTTGAGATTTTTTTTCACTTTAAAAACATTGTATGTGAATGTTGGAATTTTTGCACCTTAAAATTTGATTATAGTGGTGGTTTTTGATGATTTTTTAATGTTGAGGCTAAAATTTGATGGTAAAAAGGTTGTATAAGAAAATCGAATATTTAAATAAAACAGAAAAAATTAAATAAAAAAAACATATATTTAAAAAACAGTAAAAAAGGATAAAAAAAACTAAAATGAAAGTTGTCATTTATATATATATATATATATATATATATATATATATATATATATATATATATATATATATATATAAAGGTGGAATAAAAAAGAAAAAGAAATAAGATATTTAAATTTTAAAAAAAAAAACTGAAAAGAAACAAAAAAATAAAGAAAAATTAAAAAAACAATAAAAGGTGGAATAAAAAAGAAAAACAGAAAAATAAGATATTTAAATAAAAAAAATAAAAAAAAATTAAAAAAAAAACTGAAAAAGAAACTAAAAAATAAAGAAAAAAAAGAAAAACACTAAAATTGTAAATAGTTTTGAAAGAACACTAAAATGGTAAATATTTTTTCCATCCACCCTGATCAAAATCTCCAAAAAGAGCTAAAGGATAAATCGTGCCCAATCACATGGATCATTAGTGTTTACTAAAAAATAAGTAATAGAAACAATAAACATAAAAAGTAACTTGTATGCGTTTTTTCAATTTGAAAAGAACGAAAAATGTGGAAAGAATGAAAAAGGAAATATAATATTTTAGTTTTTGGTTTGTTCTTTCAAACCGGAGATTTGATAAAAGAAAACAAATAACTTTTTACGTTATTTACAACATGATTTGTTTGGTGAAAATTATGAAATTTCTGTTTTTGCTCTCCAAATTTCTTCATATTTGGTAAGAAAGCTTTCAAGGAAATATTGTTTGATGATAATGCAAATTTGGGGGGATTGTCAAAATAGATTATTATTTCCAGGTTTTTTTTTTAATTTTTTTATTTTATAAAACAATTACCTGATTAGGTTATTTGTGTTGTGTGCTGCCTGATGACTCAAACTCCGGAAAATTCATCCCATTCATATGGTATGTGAGTCATCATTAGGTAATGCATAATAACCTGTGTTGTAAAAATCTCGATAAGGTCCCGATTAATCTCCAATTAATCCCTAGGTGTTACTAGACTGATTAGAAGGTGTCTAATGATTAATCCCTAAATACATAATGACTGAAACAATAGAGACCAATTGAAATTTTAACACTTTGAAGAAGTTATATCTCAATTGAAACTTTTTTAGGTATGGTTAGTGTTGTATTTATCATATTAACATATTTTGTTATGATATTAGTGGTGTTTACGAACTTTTATATGATATTAATCATATTTAATTTTTTAAAAACTGACAAATTAGCAATTAATGATCCCCGATTAATCTCCGCCTAGCTGATTAATCCATTAACCCCAGTCCACCGACTAGCTAACACCGAACAGTTTTTACAACCTTGATAATAACCAAGTTATGACAGTTGATAAAAAAGTATGAATAAAACTGTAAAGAAAAAAATGTATCATTGCGACCTAATGAAGGAGTTTGTAAATGGTATATGACTACTGAAAAACTTGTACGCCTGTACAAATACTGATAAGCACTGGATCAAGTGTTGAACAAAGTCATTTTTATCAGACTATTTACTTAATGTGTGCTCCATGTATGAACTTTGGGTGCTTTGGGGTGTCTATTGTCTAGAGGATCAAAAGGAGATGATTAACACATACTTGTAGAATCATCATCATCATCAAAGTAAGATCCTCTTATCATCTTTTTGTGTATATCTTTTCTATGATTTTTGATTTAATTGCAGATTTTGCAAAATGAGTCAAATTGGGAAAAAAAAATTACTTGTGACTTAAACATTGTGAGCTATTAATCACAAACAGTGAAGATAATATGATTAGAATCATCCTCAAGCATAGTTTTTTATTTTGTTACATTAGTTTCCCACTAATATTATCAAACAAAAACATTAATTTATACCATCTTAAATTATTGACCATTTTATAACCGACCTAAAAATTATCTTTTTAGAATTGGAGGTCGAATATTTAGAACCAAACTTAAAATTGTTTTTTTTTTTTACTACAGGAGAAAAAAATTATCTTTTTAGAATTGGAGGTTGAATATTTAGAATCAAACTTAAAATTGTTGTTTTGACTACGGGAGATAATGAACTTTTTGGTTGCATAATTCAACAACTTGATACAAACTAATATTTTTTCTTTTTTATTTTTGAGTTTTTCTGTAATAAAACTGACACCACTTTCAACAATGATATTTCATTTTACTCTCTAATGATAGTTAAAATTTAAATCTTTCTTATTTATTGACTTATAAATTCTTTTAATAAATACTAAATGATATTTCATTTTAATTTTTGTTATTTATATTAAACTCTTAATTATAATATAGTATTTACGGTATTTTTGATAAATATATACATAAGAATTTATCATATTTCGTATTTTTGAAAAAAAAAAAAAATTTAATTTTCAAAATTTTCATATAGTAATATATTATTTTAATTAAATGTTTTTGCCATGTAATATCTTATTTTTAAATATGACATTTTTGTAAAAATGAATTACAGGTTAAGATATTAGGGGGGGGGGGGGGTACTATAATACATATCATATAGATGAGAATAGGTTATGCCCTGTTTAATTTCTTGTTGAGTGGGTCCGATCATATTTTTTGGATGACTCAATCCAGCTAGGGTGTTTGATAACAACACTTAAGTCTCTTACATAGTCCATATCTTTGATTCAATCATTGAAAAACCTATGTGCCTAGCAGATTGGGAAAAGTACCATCAATTTCCCTTTCTC